ACCTCTTATTATTTTAGACCCAATTCTGTTACTTGCTCATATATATATATATATATATATATATATATATCACGTGTCAGAATCCAGACTGTGTCATGATACAATGTTCAGAATGTTAGTTTCGTCCTATAAACCACAAGAAGGTTTCAAATATGAATATGGGCAAGATAGACGATTGGTGGGCACATCCTATGAACAATAAAGAGATCTGAGAATCTGTCTGTGAAAACGACTCCAGTATACTTGTCACCTCGTCCTTAAAGGTGAAGTATTATGCAAATACAACGTGTGCTTAGATTCAAAGCATGCTTTGTTTCATTCACTATTAGCTTGATCGATTGCTGAGTTGAGATCCTCCGGGTCCCATATGCTTCTCACACTTATCCTCGTGTTGGCTAACTTAGCCTCGCTTTGTTTGTCTGTGTGGTTAGTGTAGCAGTCGAAATGCATCCGGCACATTGCTACATATGTTTACCTGAGTCTTGTCAACAAAACGAGATGTAATGATGCCTCTAGTGGAAAGATTTCTTGTTTACTAGTAATCAAGAAGAGTTTTCAAATGCCGCAGCGTGGTTATATCTTCCTTGCTCTTCCAACCACTTGACCTGTTAAATATGCGATTGCCAATCGAATGCTCACCTCGTAGAGTGTTTATCGTGATAAACATTCAATTATGTACATTACTTGAAAACGCAGTAAACTTCAAATTTAATGAACCCGTTACGTCAAGTGCTAGTTTGTTTCCTTATCACGATATCCCTATTCTTTTTGCAATCACTCTAAAAATCTTTAATTGTGCTTCCTCTCACAATAGAGCATTTTTTCAAACAACGTAAACCCATTTCTCCACCTTTGCCCTCAAGGTAACTAAATTCTTCAAGACTGAAGTCGCGACAGCTTTCGGAAATCAGTTGCGATGTTTGGTTAGAAAAGATATAACCAAAAAGAAGTTCAGTTCAGTTTGAACAACCACTAACAGTGTACTTTGGTTCACACTACATAACTATCGTGTTCATTCAAGGAAAACCTCGACTACATCAACTTGGACCTTCCTCGGAATGCTTCTTGCATAACCTGGGCCAGCTTTTCATTCCAGATCAAATCATATCTGGATGGACTCAAAATAACCTAAACTTAGAAGAAAATTGCGAAGTTAGCTAAAGCCATTCAGGCAATGTTTTCTTTACACTAGAAAAATCAACATCGCATGGAAGAATACTGAAGATTATTTTATCTCTATTCTTCACGCACGTTCGAATAAGCAAATCGCAAGCCTGCATTGTTGTCACTTTGCTTTATATATATACATATATATTTATACGCATATATACATATATATCAACAGTTTAGGTTTAACTGGGATATGTATGAATCGTGGTTGAGTTACCGAAAGAACAAAGAAGAAATTCAGCTTGTAAGGCGGATATATCAACAGTAAAATTAATTTATCTTTCTCCA